ATAGCAGCAATAATCGGATCATTGTACCTGGGCCAGCTGCACCCTGCATTTATATGACATGACTTGGGTGCTGTGCAGATGAAAACACCAACTATAGTGCTTTCTCAGTCATTTAGCTTTGATGGACAGCCACGGATACCCACGGTTCTGCCTCTGTAGACCAGGGCAGAGAAACCTAAAAAGAGCTTGAAGCCAAAATATTCTAAATGATGAGCCCCCACCTTTTGTCTCTGTATTGTCACGAATTGGAGACTTCACAAACTCCATTTTCAGGAACTAAAGGAGAACACAAATTAGTGGCTATTTTAAAGGGGGCACCAGTTAATGGATGTTTTTCCAGGTGGTAGACTTTGTTCCTGCCCTCCATGGGGGTGTTTCTATTGAGTGCTGAAGGGGTCTCTCTCCCAGTGTTAGATGAAAGTCACTGCTAAAGGCCCTTACAGAAGAAGCCTTGGGATCCCGTGCCCCTGTTCAACCCTGGACTGCTGTTTTTGGAGAACTGTTGGAACTGTTTCAACTCTTTCAGTGCAGCAACCAGCTGCAGTCCTCCAGCAGCTTCAGAAAGACTTGCTCAAGGTCACCCTCAAGATAATAACAGAAAAAGAACTAGGAACCTTTACTCTAGTTTCTCCATAAGCACATGCCTCTCCTAATACAGAAAATAGAGGCCAGACTCCTGACATCTCAGATGCCTCTTACCCTAAACAGTCCCAGTCCCCTGGTTTGTCCCTCTCTCCCCTTTTAGTTACCCCACCCTGTTTCCTGGAATAGTACCCTGGTTTGTATCTCTCCCCTTAGCCACCCCACTGTTTCCTGGAATAGCAGTACCCCCCACTAGAGTCAGGGGCAGAGTCCCTTGCCCATGCCAACTCGTGGTATGCTGTGAGTCAACAGCCCCTGCCCATTCCTCTCAGCCTGGGCTGCCACAGTTTAATGAGTGGTTATTTGTGGCACTCTGCACACAGCTTGGAGCTGTGCCTTTACCCCATACTGAGGACTAGGGGATGGGGAGAGAGAGAGAGTAAAGCCAAAGCTTCATTTATTACTATAATCTTCAATGTGCATCCCACCCGTGGTGTTAATGTTCTAAAATAAACGCATTAATCCCCCCACAGCCTACAAAGCAAACACTCAGCTGGAGGGCTTTGTGTGGGAGGGAGGCTGCACTGGGCACAATAGAATGGTAAATGGCACTGCTTTCCCTGGTTGGAGGTTGGGAACCAGGTGAGAAAGCCTCCAGGAGCCACCCAGTGGGAAGCAGAAATTAAATCCAGAGTTGATGAAGGTAGCTCACCACTGTGGGAGCTCACTCCATCAGGAGGCTGAGCCAGGAGGATTTCTGAGTTTGAGGCTAGTCTGAGTCAATGAGCTCTAGGCCATTGTGAGAAGATCACAAGGTCTAAGTTCATTGTTTGTTTTTTTTGTTGCTGTTTTAGGTTTTTGTATTGTTTCAGTGTTTTGAGACAGGGTCGCATGTAGCTCAGGCTGGTTTTGAACTCTATATGCACTGAACTCCTGATCTTCTTGCTATCGCCTCCTAAGTTTTAGGACTATGGGTACACACCACCATACCTAGACATAAAGTCTGGGCTTCTAGGTATTTATTTAAAGACACTTTGGAGGAATGCAGATTTTGTACAAAAAAAGAGGAAGGGCATTCGTTATTTTATTTGTTTACTCTTCCTCATTCTCATATTCTCTGTCTCCCTCTCCATAAATTCTCATATAACACAGCCAGGCTTTAAACTCACTACCTGGGGAGGATCTTTTCCAACTTCTGACTTCCCTTCCTCTAACTCCTGAGTGCTAGGATTACAGGATCCTGTTTTATGTGGTACTGGAGACCAAACTGAGGGTTTTGCTAAGCAAGCAATCCACCAACTGAGCTACAGACAGCCTTCGCCTTTTTGTGTTTATTCATTTATTTTTTGATGAAGGATCTCCCTTCATAACTGAGACTGGCCTTGAACTGGCTACATAGCCCAGGGGACCTCAAACTCTCTATCCGCCGGCTCCCGCCGCCTGTATACTAGGATTACAGATGTGTACCATCACAAAGTGGTTGTGATGCCTGTGTCTGATTTAGCGTCTGTGTGTGTGTGTGTGTGTGTGTGTGTGTGTGTGTGTGTGTGTGTGTGCGCGCGCGCACTATGCATGGGGCAGAGATGTGCATACATGTGAGTAGTGCATGTGGTCGTGGGAGTGCAACCTCAACATGGTTCGTTCTTCAGGAGCCGTCCACCTAGTTTTTGGAAACAGTAGTCTACCAAAATGTACCCTGTTGGTAAATAGCTAGGTCTTGTAGGTCTCTAAAATGTCTATCTTCTTACTCAGACTTTATTAGATAGATCACACTGTTTATGTTGCTTATAAAAAGTATTTATAATATATTCATTAGAAATTAATCCCGGTGGTGGTGGGTGCGCACCTTTGATGGCAGCACTTGGGAGGCAGAGGCAGGTGGATCTCTGTGAGTTTGAGGCCAGCCTGGTCTCCAGAGCAAGTTCCAGGACAGCTAGAACTGTTACACAGAGAAACCCTGTCTCTATAAAAAAAAAAAAAAAAAAGTTACAGATAGGGCCTGGGAATGTAGCTCAGTAGGCAGAGGGCTTGCCTAGCATGCATGAAGCCCTGGGTTTGGTTTCCAGGGCTGCATAAAACCTAGAATGGTGGTATATCCTAGTACTAGGGAGGTGGAGGCAGGAAGATCAGGAGTTCAAGGTCATCCTTGGTCATCCAGTGAGTTTGAGGCTAGCCTGGGCTATAGTAGACTTTCCCTTAAGACAAGAGAGACAGAAAGACACACACAGTGTGTGTGTGTGTGTGTGTGTGTGTGTGTGTGTGTGTGAGAGAGAGAGAGAGAGAGAGAGAGAGAGAGAGAGAGAGAGAGAGAGAGAGAGAATGCTACAGGTGGGGGACATGGTTACACATATCTGTGATCTCAATGCTTGGGAGTCAGAGAAAGAGGATAGAGAGTTCCAGATCAGCCTGAGTTACATACTGGGATCCTGTGTCAGACACTGAGGAAAAGTGGGAGGAGGAGTAAAAGTACGAGAACTGCACGTTTAAGGCAAGTATGGGCAACTTGATATGAACCTGTCTCAAAAGAATATACAAAAGGAGCTGGGTATGATGGTGAGTGCCTGTAATCTCACCATTTGGGAGGCAAAGGCCAGTAACATGAGGACATCAAAGTACAAGCATATGTCTCCATTAATTAATTAAAAATAAAAATTCAAATGGAAAAGACAGTGATAAAGTACCTGCTCTGGATTCAATCTCCTGTGCCATATTTTTTAAAAAATATACATATAAATGAGATTCCTCTGTATTCAATGGAGTAATGAGTTGAAAGAGTCCTGAAGAAAATTCATTTAGAAAGAGACAGCGGCAGCACTGTGCCTGAGCCTTTTAGTACTGTACAAACTGAACCAGATGATTTTTAGAGTGCTTCAGCAAATCTAAAACTCTACCACTAAAATGTCTTGATATCTCCTTTGGGGGTTTTCCTGCTTAAAGATATACCTGACTTTCTACCTTGGAGAATTCTTGTAAAACAAAGTTTAATTTTTCTATGATGAACTAGACTTAGGAAAAACAACTTGGAAATCTAGCAAAGTAGAAGGTAAAAAAGCGGTAAGCACTCACAGAATCAACAGCACTCACAGAATCAACACTTTGAAAAGACACCTGTTGATTTGTCTTCTTCCCATTAACTAGTGTTACAGTCTCCATCATGTCCACCAGCTAGGCCCCTCCACAGACAGGGAGGAATAATGCATCAGATCCACCCACCACACTCCCTATGGTCACCTGCCCCACAGAAACGTGACATTCCATGAGATCGTGGCTTCCATTTGGGAGAATGAGTCATTTTTATACCCCCCCGAAAAGACGATGACAGAACCATCAATTTCTTACCAACCAGAAAATCTTATTCAAGCAGCAAAAGCCAGCAACTTAGATGGGTGAGCAAATAATGGATGAACAAAAAAGTTGCAAAACAAATTCTGACTTCCCTGTTTTGAAAAGCAGATTTTCAGAGCTAGAAGACATTCGAATAATAAGTAGACAGTCCTATGTTGTATGTTCAACTTAACCATAATATTAACAAACCATTAATGTGTGGTGTGGTGAGAGAGAGAGAGAGAGACTTGGATGTCAAGTTCTCTAATAGCTGGCTCACAGAAGACACAATAGAACTCCATCGCTCTGACTGAATATCGTTTGTGGGCAGATAGATGTACAAGGCTGGGGTGGGGTCCCTAAAGAGCAGTATCTTGTTTCCACTAGGTAAGAACACATCAAAAGGATGATAAAGGAGAGAGCAGCAGTTTTAAGTTCTCTCCTAATGATCTAGATGATCTGCTCCTTGTTCTGTCCCCTGCCAGCTAAAACTCAGGAAAGAAACTGTGGGGACTGTCACCAGTAATCCGTGACTCCCATTTCAGCAGAGTGACTGCTGGACCAAAGGATTCTTCCAATTAAGTTTCTCACAGATGAGAAATGCAAAGTGCAAAACCCTGCAGTTCTGCTTTGTGCAGCCATCTATACTGCATAAAAAAGGGATTGTAGGAAGGGGCCCTTGGGGACTGGGTGTATTTCCCATATCCAAGCATCGCAGGAACCAGGGGAAAGTTATTAAACCACAGGAGACAGACTGTGTGATTCACAGCAATCAAGCCCTGCCTCCAGCTGTGAACACAGGCAAGCTGGCGATGAGTCCCTGCAGCTCCTCGGCACCAGAGCATGTAGACCCAGGGAAATGCTCTGCTGCAGTACTGAGTGACAGCAGAGAGCCACCAAGGGAAGGCAGAGCTAGCAGTCCTGTTTAGCAGCCCTGCCAGAGCCCTTACACTCCCAGATGCCCTGGTCCAGAGGCCCCCACCTCTAGTCGTTCCTCAGCTGAAATGGAATCTCTTAAAGACACCCCAAATCTTCTCATTTTGTGCAGTGTCTCTGAAGCAAGAAAATAAGCAGCTGGGGGAGGTGAAACTTACATAAGATTCAGGATACATGACTTTCCTGGCCTGGGCACATCAACTTGAAAGATGAGATCCATGGGGTAGAGAAGTGAAGCCATTCAGAGTCTCCCTGGAGCTCCAGAGCTTTGGGCAACACTTCCTCCTTCCTTTTTTTTTTTATTTTTTTTTTTTTTTTTTTTTTTTTTTTTTTCAAGAGGAAGAAAACAGACTGGTCCTTAGCCTGCAGGGAGACCGAGATTCTCCCCCTTGGGGCTCTGGGTTAGAAACAGCTGGTCTCTGTGTACACCCAGGTGGCTGCCTCTGGATATTATAAATAATCATCCCGGAAGCAAGGTTCCTCTCTGTATTAGGAGGCAGCTAGGATGGCTAAATTGCTAGCTAGGACCAGTTTGCTCTGACAGCTTAGGAGGCTGGAGGCACTCTTACACACAGAGTCCCCACTGAGGACCCCACTCTTACTCTGCAGAGGCCCTAATTAAGGCTAGTCAAATTCAGCTGCTGTCTAGAATGACCCCAAGAACACCTCAGGTTGTTCTTACCAGGCAACAGCATTGTCACTTCACTAAATGTCACTTTTTACATCTTCTAATGGTCTGTCCTGCCCAGGGGCCACATGTATCTCGTCATAAACACAAACTAACCACAGATCCTATCAGCACAGCCATGAGATAAACTCCCAGGGGTGGGGGGGTGGCTTGTATTAAAATAGTCAGATTTAGAAGCACGATGGTGGGAGGAGAGGTTTGAACCCTAGATCTTGGTGATGGGGGGGGGCAGGCAAAGAAAGCCTCTCTTCTCATGTCAGAGCTAAAAAGCCAGAGAAGGGTCACTCCTTTTACTTTTATTATTTTCTTTCTGCATGCAGGATTGCCATGATCGCAGTCGCAACCAGCTGAGGTACTGGAAGCTACTCTCTTTTCTCTGCAGCCACCAGACTCAGTGGATTTTCCAGGATAAACTCAGTGGACATGGCAACCACGACAACACAGCAGCTGGCACTAATTGACTCCCTAGGTGATGACTTTGGGTCAGCAGTAGTCAGCAGACCTACTGAAAATACTCATCTTTCCTATCTAAACTGGGGCCCAGAATCCAGGGAATTCTCTCCGTCTGTCTCTCTGTCTCAGTGTGTGTGTGTGTGTGTGTGTGTGTCTGTCTGTCTGTCTGTGTCTCTGACTCTCTCTCATTCTCCCCATCTCTCTCTTTCTCTGCCTCTCTCTGCCTCCCCTACCTCTTTTTTCTCTCTCTCTTTCTCCTTTCATTATTGGAGATTGAATCCAGAACTTCACTCATGCTAGGCAAGTGCTCTATCACTAAGCAATCCTTGAGAAATCTTATGCTGGTTTTCTATAATTGTCTGACTACACACACACACACACACACACACACACACACGGGGGGGGGGAGGGAAGGAGAGAGGGGGGGAAGGGGGAGAAAAAGGGGGGGAGAGGAAGGGAGGGAAAAGGAGGGAAGGAGAGAGGGAGAGAGAGAGAGAGACAGAGAGAGAGAGAGAGAGAGGGAGAGAGAGGGAGAGAGAGAGAGAAGCTAACCCAGAATCTGGGTAGAGCACCTATTCAGAGCCAGGTAGTGTTTAAAGTACTTTGCACATATAATTTAATCTTTTAGAACAACCAACATCATCTTCGTATTAAAGATAAAAAGCAGAAGCACAAATTCTCTGATGCTCCTAAGGCCTCTTAGCAAGTACATAACAGAACAAGGGGACTGGCAGATTGCTGAGAAACGGACTGAACACGAGGACATGCTCACTAGGCAAGGGACCACTGAAGGAAAGCAGAGATGCATGCCACTGTTCATACCAACATCATCTGGGAACCAGGATCCTTGCCTCGAAATATAAGGATGTGCCTGGGGTACCACAGATAAGTCAGACAGTAGGACAGGTTTTCTCAAAGTCTTACCATGGACAGTGTTCTTTAAAAAGAGTCAACCAATTAAAGGACTGGGTTGGCTCCAGTGAACATCACAGAACCTGTCCGAAGACTTGGATGTAAGAGGTCTACTCTGGAAGGGACCATCTTCCCAAGGGTTGGACTTGCTTCTACCACAGTGCTCATGGAAGACAGGACAGGTACCCCCACCGTTCCCCTCTGAATGAGTGAAAAGTGCCACCTAAAGGGGGTTAGGTGGCCAGGGATGGTGCTCTTGTTAGCTGCTGCCTATGGAGAACAACACAATGCTAGGGGAGGCTGGATAGAGCCGAATTGAGGGCAGCAAGGAAAGCCACCGTAACCTAAGAGCAATAAGATGCGGAGGTCTAGCATCCCAAGAGACAGCTGATCACCCTGAGAGCTCAGTTCCCGCCTACAGCTGACTCCAGTCACCCCCTCCCCAAAGCGTTATCGACAGCTGGTAAGCTAAAAGCACCCCCTTTCCAGTAGCTTCAGAGAGCCAGGAGATTGGGGGCTATCCTAGAGGGGCAGTGGCGTCCACACAGAGAGTACCCCTCGCCTCCCGGGGACCTGGAGCTGCAGCTTCCTCCCCGCCGCAGCCCTGGGCCGGAGCACTCGCAAGTGGGGGTGGAGGGGCGACCCACGAGCTGCACGGCTCACCTCGCTCATCCCGGCGGCCGGACGGGGCGTGGCAGGCTCAGGCCAGGTGAGGGGTCCTCCGGGGATTCGTGGACCGTGGTCGAAAGTTGCGGGGCTCCGGAGCAGGCGCCCTAGCGGGCTCGGAGGAGAAAGTGCTCGCCTCGAGCGGCTGCTTGGTATTGCCCTGGGCGCTCTGCCTGAAGCTCTCTGCTCAAGGGACCCCTTCTGACCAGGTCCTGTCAGCAGCTCCTCGCGCCTTGACCGGCCCCATCTTTTATAGTGAGCTCCGGTCCCCGCCTCCAAACCAACCAATAGAAACGCGGCCATCCGCAGACTGACAGCTCCTCGAACCCAGTGATGGCAGGTTCAGAAATCTGCTGCATTTCCAAACTAGGGTAAGACAGACAGAGAGAGCGGGAAGGAGGGGGAGACCGTCGGGGGATGAGAAGACAGAAAACGAAGCAGGAAAGCGGTGAAGGAGAGAGAAGTAGTAAGTAGTATCCGAAGGAACTGAACTCTGATCCTCTGGAAGAAGAGCAAATGCTCTTGAGCCTTATGCTATCTCTCTATCCCCATATGTTGTATATATATTTTAGGGCAAAAACTTGGGAGGAAGAAAACAAACAGGGCACAGGTAAGTGCATGAACCTTCTGATAACTTTAGTTAACGTAGTTCTGTTTATCTATATAGTTTTCACCCCTTTAAGGAAGTTCTTTACATTTTCATGCCTGCAGTACTTGTTGGCATTGTAAACTCTCTTACAGCTTCAGTCAGCCAAACCCTGATACTTTCTGCTTTCACAGATACATTCTTTGGTTGATACCTTGACAGCCTGTTAAAACTGTAACCGCACTGTCTGGACGATTCCCTGGTTTGATCTCTTCTCAACAACCAAGTTCAAATAAGACCTCAAGTAGTCTTCTTTTCTAGCATGGCTCTCTGTACTTACACATCTCCTCTGTCCGGTTGGAAATGAGACAGACCCACCTGAGATCATCCAGTTCCGTTTCTAGGAGGAATCTGGTTGCCTCAGTTACTAAACTTCTAACTAGGCTAGCTCCTACTCAGTTCATGCAGCCTACTCCTTGAGAATCCTTCTAATGAGCAATTAATTAGCATTGAAAGGGTAGTCATTAGTGAAATAGACCTCAATTCTTAAGCTGCTATGAAAAGATGCTAATGAGAATTCAGCCTCTAGGTTACGGATCATCTAGCTTTCCAGGTAAGGATCAAATTAATAAATGTGTTGTCTTTGAGGGACACACGTACTCTTTCCTGAGCCATCCCCTATTATGCTTGAATACAAGACACAAAAAATTACATCAACAAACAAGTTTGGTTGTGTCTGATATAAATGTGTTTGTGACCCCTGACGTTTGGATTTCATATAAATTTCATGAGATACAAAATGTCTTTAAATTTTAGTGGAAGGGATGAGGGGTTGGCTCAGCAGATGGCTCGCTTGCTGATCTCCCAGAGGACCTGAGTACAGTCCCTAGAACCACTTCCCGTGGCTCCCATCTGTCTGTAACTCCAGCTCCAGGGTACCTGGAACCCTCTTCTGGCCTCCACAGGCACTTGCACACACGTGGCAACGTGGCATATAGTCACACAAACACTCAATAAATTTTAGTGCAAAAGCATTCTTTTTTTAAAGCTAAAGTCCCAAAGTAGCTAACAATACCACATGATAGGAAACAATGATCTAATTGTAGGAACTGATTCTTTTCAATTATTTCATTTTTTTTAAAGATTTATTTTTACCAGGTATGGTAATACACACCTTTAATCTCAGCACTTGGGAGGCAGGCAGGGGGATTTCTGTGAGTTTGAGGCCAGCCTGGTCTACATAATGAGTTCTAGGACAGCCACAGCTACACAGTAGAGAGACCCTATCTCAAAATAACAAAACAAAACAACAAAAACAAAAAACAACGACAAAATAAAATTTTAATGTGTGTAAATATTTCCCTGCACATATGTATACACATTGTATGTGTGCCTGGTACCAAAGGAGGCCAGAGGAGGATTTAGTCCTCTGGAACTGGAGCCACAGGTGCTAGTGAGCCTCCATGTGGGTGCTGGGAGCTGAACTTAGGTTCTCTTGACAGAACAGCAAGTGCTCTACACTGATTTTTAAAAATAATTTATTTACTTTTATTTTATCTGCAATGGTGTTTTACCTGCGTGTATATCTGTGTGAGGGTATCAGATCCCCTAGAACTGGAGTTTATGTGGATGCTGGGAATTGAACCCAGGAGCTTGGAAGAACAGTAAGTTCTCTCAACCACTGAACCATCTCTCCAGCCCTATTTTATTTCTTTTTAAAATTATTTTATTTTGTTTTATGTGTATAAGTGTTTGCGTTGCACCATGTGTGTGCCTGGTGCCCACTGAAGCCAGGAGAGGGCATTGGATCCCCTGGGAGGTACAGACAGTTATGAGCCACTATGTGAGTGCTGGGAATTGAACCTGGATCCTCTGGAAGAGCATCCAGTACTTTTAACTGCTGAGCCATCTCTCCAGCCCTTGATTTCTTTGACTTTTAACTATGTGTATGTGTGCCTGGGGAGGGACACTATACATGTG